CTTTTCTTACATATTATTATTCAAACACTAATTATTTTTTTTATAGAAAATTTTTCTTTTTTATTATCCAAATACCACTTTTGTCACTTGTTTAATAATATATGTTACATTATCTCACATAAAGCTTGTTTCTTCATAAACATCCCAAATCTTAAAATCTTAGAGTTTACTTATAAAAATAATTTTATTTATAATTTTAGATGTTTGAAATGTCCTTTAAAGGTGCATTTTTCTTTAGTAATTTTACACTTAATTCTTTATGATATTGTGCTTTAATTGAATGTGTTTTTATGTTTTTAGGTGCATGTATACCAAAGAAAAAAAACTGGATCGAATTGTAGCGAAACAGAGCAAATTGGGCTAAGGAAAAGATTTTTTATCTTGCACCGAAGCGCCAGTTTACAAAGAAATCGGCACCTGAGCGCCGCATCCTGACGCCTAGGCGTCAATTAGAATTTGAGGGCTCTCGAGAAGGTGGCACCTAGGCACCAGAACTGTCCAGAAGAATTTGAGGGCTCTCGAGAAGGTGGCACCTAGGCGCCACAGTTCGACGCCTAGGCACCAGAACTGTCCAGGGCGGTTTCCCTATAGTTTTTAGCACGAATTCAGTCATTTCAAAGGGGGGATTCATTTCAGACGTCCAGGAGAAGGAGCGGAGAGTTGAGAGGAGAAAGATCCTGAAAGCACGTGTAGGAATTTGAAGAGAGTGAGAATTTATTCTATTTTCTACTTTTTTTTCCCTTGAGTGTTATGTGAATTATGTAGGGATTGGTGTAAAAAGTGCTAGAAGATCCTAGAGATTTTACTGGGGTGAAGTTTATTTCAGATTTCAGTAAAGGAGATAAGTATGCTTTGCACTTTGATTTGTATTCATTTAAGTTTTATGGTGTAAGACTTGCATGTGTTATAAATCAATGTGTTGGTTTGTTTTCTTCATGAAATTTGAGCAATTCTGCATACCTTTCTCCTTGTAAAGAAGTATAATCATGTGTAGGATTTAGATTTGCTTAGAAATATTTTAGAGATATTTTTATTTCATTATTATGATGGTATATTACTTCATGTTTAATTTGCTTATGCAATTTGATCAATTCATATGTTAAAACTTACTGTGGAAAGGTAATGACCCAAGAAGGCCATGCTTTTCCTCAATTAGCAATTACTACACTAACATTTAGGATTAAAAAAAAGAAATCTTGGGGTGAGTGCAAATAGATAGGAAAATAGGCTTTAACTGGTGTAAATTGATGATTTTAAAGTGACGGGCTAAAATCTTAATCAATTTGATCTAGGGTTTAGGAACTTAAAGCTAGGTTAGCCAAATTGAGGGAACTAGTGGGTAATCTAGGGTGACAAGTTACAACCTACTCAGCATAATCAAAGATTTAAGAACTTAACTCTAGATTAACCAATGATCTTTATACACTTGGGAAAAGGTAAAGATTAGGTTTGCTTTTATTTGTCACATGATTTCAATTAAATTTCAAAGCATTTGATTTCTAAACTAATTAGAATTCTCATTGCAAGGAGAGGGACTTTAGCATAATTTGAACTCCTTTACTTCCATTTTAACTAGTGACATATAGCTTTTTAAATAAATTTAGAGATAGAATTAATTCAGTAGAATTGAATAGGCTTAAACTTTTACCAAACGCATTTCCAGGCTAAGAAGCTGTTTTAGTGGACTAGAACTTCTACTTAAGTTGTGAAAATTAACATTTTTCCTCATGACATCGATAATCAAGACTCCATTAGAGTCATATATCACTTGAACGATACGTGCACTTGCGTAAACAAAAACCTAGTGAGTAGTAACTTGTGAAAAAATCTAAAATTAAAAGCATTATCAGTTCCCTCATCTAATTCTATGACAATGATTCCCGATATTATTTATTTTACAACTCTTCATCTTAAAATCCACAACTAATAATCGATGTCGAGTACTTCACTTGCAATGACCTTACAGTCTTTACATTCTCGAGATCTCTTCTTCTCATAAGAAAATGATTAATTTTTGTTTTATTAGATCCATTATTAAAAGTAATAATATGTTTATGTCTTTTCTTGAATAAAGTATTAGCAATAACAAAATCATACACTAAAGCAAAACCTAATATGAATCTACATTCTTCATTAATCACTCAAAAACCGTAGTAACCATGAATATTTATAAAATCTTCTACCACTCTACCGACATGTCCATTCGACATGTCCATTTAAATCTCCTCCATTTAAATCTCCTCCAACAAAAAATTCTTTCTTCAAGATGTATCACTTGTAGTAATTGCTGGTCATTCCATAAATTTTCTTTAGAGCCTATATCTAAATCTACTTAAGAAGTATAAACACTTATAATATTGAAAATTTTAGTATCAACAACAATATTAAAGGTTATAATTCTATATCTAATTCTAATAATTTTTACAACAATACCTTTCAAACTCTTATATATAATTACACCTACAATATTTCTAATATGGCTCTTACCTGAATATCAAAGTTTAAAACCTAAGTTATCAATTTTCTTAGTCTTTTCTCCAACATATTTAGTTTCCTGAATACATAAGATATTTATATTTTTATAATATCAACTAATTTCATTAATTTACATGTACGAAGACTTTATCCTAATATTAGTTTCATGGACTAACGTATTCACTCACATCAGTCCGTAATGTGAGAACTTTTGTTTATTTGACACTACACCCAAGTGTCAGTGTAACGGCCCTTACACATTTTTTCTTGTATTCAGGTCATACAACGTGTTGCTTTCAGTAGACGCCCTAGAATTTACACAATGATCAAAAAAATGTATGTCATGATTTTTTGATAAATTTTATGTTGGTTGTTGAGTACCTAACACTACCCTCCACTTTTCACATTCAGTGATTGGCACCCGACAATGGTATTATTATCAACAATTAAACAGTCTTTTTTTTTTTTTTTTACTGTTTTTGGATTTGGTTGAGAAGTTTAATCTCAAATTAGCTCAACTCAATGTACAAGTTATTTTTCTCCATGAAAGCTTGAATGGAAAAGGTCTATATGTCTGAACGATAAGCATTTAAAGTTTTCAGATGTTAAAATTGGGTTTATTAGTTAAGCAAGCTGCTTCATAGTTTGAAAAAATCACCAGATGCTAGTACAAAAGGTTTGATAGCTTTAGGAAAAAGGAGGCACATATGAAGTTAGTTTAATTATTGGGTGCACTTGGAAAGACTCCAAGAATTTGCATACATTCATTTACTCTTACATGTTGGTGATATGTTAGTAGCATCTAAGAGCAAGGCGGAGATCAACAATCTGAAGACTCATTTGAGATTTGAGAACAAGATGAAGCCAAGAAGATTCTTAGGATAGAAATCAACAATCTGCAGGCTCTGTTGAGATTTGAGAACAAGCTGAAGGGATCTTGAGGAAGTCGATAAGATTCTTGGGATAGAGATAAAAAAGATGGAGAAAAAGACACAATATACTTGGCACATACCAAATATTTAGAATAAGTGCTACACGAATGTGGGGTTAATGTTGAGTTAATAAAAAGACTAATCATGAGAGTACTATTGTAGCCCCACAGTTTAAATTTATTGCATTAATATCTCCAAGCATATGTAATGAAAATAGCAAATGGAGAGTGTTTCATATGTAAATATAGTGGGAGCCTTGCATTATTTGACAGTTTGTGTACAAGACTTGATGCCTCAAAAACTATTAGTATAATGAGATGATCCATGCATAAGCCAGATAATAGCGACATACATAATGAAGTAGATTCTATGATAAATTTAAAGAATAGTTGAAATTGATCTAAATTGCAAAAAGAATAACACAACTATAACTCGTCTTGTCAAAAATATCAATTTTGATTTTATTGGTAATTTTGATAAACGTTAATCAACCACCAACTATGTGTTTACTGTGACGAGGACTTACGAGTTGAAGATCAAGACAGCAATCAAAGCCTCTTCTGTTTATTACTGAAGCAAAATATATGGCAACAAAAGAAGGATTCAAAGATGTTATTTGGCTTGACGAATTGATCAGAAGTTTTGGAGTCACTTAAAAAAAATATAAAGACTTTTGTGACAGTTTGTGTCCGTTTGACGAAGTACCACGTGCATCATGGTCATACAAAGCACATCAATGCTCATAAACATTTTATTACTAGCAGTTCACACATATTTGCTCATATCTAATAGATAAAAGTGCACACTACACGTCTACACGGGAGGAGATAAGCTAATATCATGAAGTTTGATTTTTATTGTGATAATTCATGCGCTGCAAATTCTGCGATTCAAACCTTCAAATTGCATCTCTTGCATGAAATCTCTCACTTAAACCAAAACTAAATTTCTACAAAAAATAAGGAAATAAAAAAAATGCAGGTGGAAGGAAAAGTGAGGGAAGAAAATTTGCTCAGGAATATCAGCAAAAATAAGTTATGATGTAAAAAAAAGCTTATTACTTAAAAAAAATCAGAACTTTCTAAAATATATCTTACAAATTTGGAAACATTGTGATCAGTAATTACCCTTGATATATTCAACTAATCCATCATTTTTTTTTTTTTTGTGTGTGATGCCACACAACTTTTATTTATTTACATATCAAACACCCAAAGTTTAATTTTTATTTATAAGAGTCAACACTTTCAAACTACATCAAAAATATAATTAACATTAACTTTAAAAAGAAAATAAAATACATATTTTCATGCATGAAAATGATGGCATGAATGTAAAAATGAAATTTTAGGGGTTAACATAAACATACATGTGAATTCTGCGGCATGTATGTAAATCTTCCTCTTCTTTTTTTCCGACTCTTGGTGGTTCTCATGCATAAAAATGATGGCATGAATGTTAAAATCAAATTGTAGGGGTAAATATATACATACATATGAATTGAGCCGCATGTATGTAAATCTCTCTCTTTTTGTGTTTTTTTTTTTTTTCTCCCCACAGGGAGGTCCTGGTCTTCGTACAAGAACCGGAGGAATGCTGGCGAAGAAACTAGCGCTCCTCCTTCACCCCAACCTCTCCATCTCCCTCACCGCCTTTATTTGTTCCTCCGAGATCAAAGCCACCCACGCTCACCTCATAGTCACCGGCCGGACCACCGACACGTTTGCCACCTCCCGCCTCCTTGCCGCCGCTGCAATCCCCTTTTCCATAGACCTGAAACACCCTGGCTCC